TAATTAATGGAAAGTTAGGTGGAATGAAAAGTAGACAAATAACAATTACAATTCCTTTAGGGAAAGGGGAAGGGAAATCATTTATTAAGAGGAAAGAAACTTAAAAATGGCAAAAAAAAAGGTGGAATGAAGATAAAAAGGAAGAAGGTTATATAAAGTACAAAAGTCAGTATTAAATAGAAATATTAATGAGAGAAACCGAAGGGAAGAAATAATAATGATCAGATTAAGAGTAGGTCATACTTATTTAAATGACAATTTATACTTAATAGGGAGGAAAAATAATGATAAATGTGAAGGATGTGGAGAGATAGAAAATGTAGAACACGTATTGATGAACTGTAAAACATCTGGACCTGAAAAGAAGAAATTGAAAAGAGTTGAAAGGACAGGCCAAGAATGGAGTCTTAAAGGATTATTGGGAAATAAAGGAAATATAAAATATATTTATAGATTAAGGAAAGCATTATTTATTTATCTTCAGAATACAAAATTAAAAAATAGAATTTAATAGATGTAAAACAATGTTGCTACACACTCAAAACAGCAGGTGGCGGTATGCCCGCCCCTTCCCTAGAGCCCGGTGGGATCGAAAACATTTTGAATGGAAATCAATGGGGAGAAATTAATAAACTTCTGGTCCCAGTCGCTCTCTGTCACTGATTCCAGATATGCTGGTTGTGTATTCAAATTGTTTTGTTTTTTTTGAGTTCCTCTTTGGTCAAAATCCATCAATGAGATCACACCAAACAGGAAGTTAAATGCACAAACGATCCGGTAGATTTCCAAATAAAACACATCCGATCTTAACCCATGATCCTTTTTTTTAACTAGTTTAATTAGTTTCTCCCGTATGCCACGACGTAATGCATTGATCTGAAAATCAACCTGAGACGCAACGCACGCAGTGGCGAGGGTTTGATCCGTCGGATGGAGTTAAATCACAAAGAATTCAATGTTGAATCGGGGCGGAAGCTAAATGCTAGGCGATGGGTAGCAGCCAAAACGTTGCAATTTCACATAATCCTGACGAGATCCGAAAACTAGCAAGCGGGTGATTATGTATGCTCTCTGTCATTGATTCCAGATATGCTGGTTGTGTATTTAAATTGTTTTTTTTTTTTTTTTTAGTTCCTCTTTGGTCAAAATCTGGTCAAAACCCATCAATGAGATCGCACCAAACAGGAAGTTAAATGCACAAAGGATCCGGTAGATTTCCAAATAAAACACATCCGATCTTAACCCATGATCCTTTTTTTTAACTAGTTTAATTAGTTTCTCCCGTATGCCACGACGTAATGCATTGATCTGAATATCAACCTCAGACGCAACGCACGCAGTGGCGAGGGTTTGATCCGTCAGATGGAGTTAAATCACAAAGAATTCAATGTTGAATCTAAGCTAAATGCTAGGCGATGGGTAGCAGCCAAAACGTTGCAATTTCACATAATCCTGACGAGATCCGAAAAACCGTAGCAAAAACTAGCAAGCGGGTGATTATGTATGTTCACTAAGTAAATATTATGTAAATAAACCCTACACTTCTCGCTATAAATGTAATCAAAACCCATTTAAATGCAGAAACTGATTGAAATTATTGATTTTCCCACTAAAAGTTAGAGAAATCTCAGCCATGTTTATACCAAAACGTTACAGTTTCACATTATCTTGAAAAATCTTTGCAAGAAACGAACAAGCAAGTGAATATGTACATTCCCTGAGTAAATATTCTGGCAACAAACTATACATTTCTCACTAGAAATGTAATCAAAACTCATTTTAATGCAAAAACAAACTCAAGTTATTAATCTTTCCACAAAAAAATGAGCGAATGTCGGCCATCTATATATATTTTTTTCTTCTCCCAGCTGGAATCTTGAAAGTCACGTGACTAGGACGTAAAACAATAGAAAGCGTATAGGCAGAAGAAACGTAACAGTACCACAAAAAAATGGCCATTAATGTACCTCCACTACGTTTTGCAGTGTGGACCAACGTAGTGGGGGTACATTTTCCCACGAGACTGGGTTGGCTCTACACTATGCGTATTTCCTGTTTAGTACCTAATGGCAGAAGCTCTGGTTGCCAGTCTTTGGGGAACACCACTTCATGATTGTCCCTCTGGCGTTGTGGTGTGGAATGACATGGCACAGACTACGCTTCAATATTGGGCATAAATCAAAAATATCTGCATCGTACCTGCGACAAGCTAACTGCGACTAATTGCCCTAACCCCTAAATCCTTCCATCACTATATTGAGGGGGGACTGCCACTACCCGATATGTCCTGGAAGCGCCATCGTTCCTGCGCATCCGCTAACAGAACAAAAAGATCTGAGTCCCCGAAAGCTATGCAATAACGATACTTAAAATACTTTTTTTTATATACTTAAAACATTAAAGAATGCTAAACTACATCATGTGGAAAATATTGAAGACTTTTCTGGAAGAAATGGATACGTTTGACATTCTCGCCAATGTATTGCGTGACGTCATCATCGAACACGTTCAGAGCAGTCACAGTAACGTTCGAAAGTCTATTTAAGTTTATTGCTGTTTTTCTGTTTTAGAATATGCGATATATATGCAAAAACCAATATATATAATAATAAAAAAGTCAGAAAAACGAAGTATTGCCTACCCGGAGGTTATTCTGTTGGCACACGCGCAGGACGTGCTTCCGGGATGCGGATCGGGTAGCGACAGGGACTATATAGTTAACTGACTGTTCGGACAGATAATCACAACCATGTGACTCCGCCTCCCCGCGTGATTCCTGCGCCATCTTTGTTATTTGTCCCCGCAACAACGAAACCCACAATGGTCTAGTGACTGTGGATGATCGTTACTTTTCAAGGTAAAAATTTAGATTCCACAATTTTTTCAGTGTATTCTCATTATGAGTTCGTATGAAATCGTCCGAAAAGTTATGCACCGTAATTTTGTACGTTTTGGACGTTTTTTTCGTCGTATGCGCATCTTACGCACCATTTAATAACTTCGAATTTAACATACAATTAACCCTAACCCTGACCCTAACCCTAAGGTATAAAACAGCAAGCAACGTAGTTAGAGACATGAAGAAGTAATTATTGCACTGTTTTTCCCATTTTTACGTCCGTCCGCGGATCTGCTTTTTTTGTCCGTCTACCTGCGCATGCGCACTGGTCTGTTTTTTTTTAGGAAAAACGTCCAAAACATACGAAATAGTGTGCATAACTTTTCGTACAATTTCATACGAACTGATAATGAGAATATGTTGATTTTTTTATTCACTAGACGTTCGGACACTCATCTAAAATGGCGCAACCACTTCCTCCAAACACCAGACATCATTTAGACGTTGGTTTATAGTAGTGTTGCACCGATAGTGTCAGGCGGGGCTCCGATCCAGCACTGAAATGTTATCTGTATCGGCGAGTACCAACAAATACGGTATCAATACCATTTTTAGAGCCAAAAGTTTCTTCAACTATTGTCGCCCATTCCAGGTAGGCAATAAAAAGTTCTACTGGATTCACTTTGTTTTAGTCTTTTTCTTGCTTCACAAAGGTAGGCAGCAGCTAACAAAGCCATGATGGCAATTATTTTACATCCAGGTAGTCTGCAGTTCTTCATATATACACACATCAATTTCAAACACATGGTATCGATATCGGCAAACACTGCCCAGCCAGGTATCGGGTATCAGTATTAGGGCCAAAAAATGGCATAGGAGCAACACTAGTTTTTAGGCTAAATCTTGTCGTTCCGTTGGAGTCTGGATTCAGTCCAGAAATACTTGTTAAAAATTGGGCTGTGATTGGTCGGTTTGATTTTGTCCAATAATAGACGTTTCAACAATCTGACAATGTTTCACCTTTCCCTTTTCAACTTAGTAGACGTTTCAACTTAATGTAGACGTCATTTGCACGTAAATCATGTCGTCTTTTCAACCTTTGGTGGTTGGGTGGAATTTGGAGACAGACGTAGAATAAAGGCTGTATACTCAGAAACCAGGTCATCGGGGTGTGCGTCGAAGTTAACGCAGACACTCTGCTTCACCTCGCCAAAATCGTAGGTGACCGCAGACAGTGCCGCATATAGGAGGCCTCTGATTGGTCAAATCTACATCCACTCTATGCGTATTTCCTGTTTGGTACCTTTGCGGCTTGTTTTGATTGTCTGACCGTCATTTTGGAAAGATGGACCAGCTAGAAGGGCGAGGTGCACCAGAACGCTGGGACCCTTTTTCCACCTGGATCCCCGCTTTTTCTCATGTCCCTCCGTTGTCGTACAAACTTGCCCCCACTTCCTCACTGCCTCGGCCGTATCTAGACCCACGGCTAGTTCCTGATTGGCCCTCTGGTGTTGTGCCGTGGAATAACATAGCACAGTCCACGCTTCAATATTGGGCATCACTGCAATAAACTGCTGCGGGAGGATAACCAGCCCTTTAAAACCCTAAGCTAAATCAAATATGGGGAAGTATGATGCTCCCTGAACATTTTGGGATCTAGTCAGGGTTCTGGATTTGCTAACAGCAGACTGATTGACTGGTTCTGGGGATACTGAAACAGCTTTTTCATTGGTCTTTTCAGTTGTGAACAGCACTGCTAACAAAGGGCAGGATGCACTGGGAGCAGGTCCAACTTAATCCACTTAACACGGAATAAACTTCTGCTCCACTTGAACAGACTGGACGGCCCCCAGTAAAGGGCCCCTGACTATGTACTTCCGAAGGCCCTCCCACAGGGCACCAGGGACACAAAGCACATGTGGACGGCTGGGCAATTCTAACCCTCATGTAAAAAGGTAAATCTGAAAAACAGACCTTTGAAAAATTAGATAAAGTATAAAATGTTTTTAACAAAAGGTTTAATCAAATATTTGAAAAGTTACTCTTCGTTTTTTGATTAAGACATTTTTCAAAGGTTCATTTCTGGATTTTAAAATTCCAATTACTTTGCAACAATATTGGAACCAATGTTTCATGCTGGGATTACGGGATTACCACCCACCTCTGTGATTGTGGGATCTCTCTTCTGGAATGTTGCCTTGATTTTTCGGAGTGCCCTTTCCCTTTTCCGTAAAACCCTCTGAGGACTGAACCCGACCTGAAGAAAAGATCAACATTACAGACTTTAATCCAGGATAAAAACAGACTGGGGCCGTTATGGAAGCAGCAGCATTTCCCACGTACAGCTTCTACCAGCTTGCTCCTGAGAAACTCGATGTTGGCAAAGAAGATCGGTGAAGGTATGCGGAAGATTTTTACCCCCTTTGGTTGAAACACCTAAAAAGGATGAATGACGGTTAAAAATGATCCAGCAGGTATGATTAAAGCGTTCTTTACTCAATTTCACCTGCAGGTAATCCTTCTGGTCTCTGTACAGGTCGGTGCCGGGGAGATTAGCCAGAATCGAACAGCGAGGGCTAAAAAGAGAAACCAGTTCTTTAATTCAATTCTATTCAGTTTATTTCTATACCTCCAATTCACATCATGTCATCTCAGGTCACTTTACAGTTCACCAGATCATCCAGTCAGATTGATTCAAAGTTTTCTATCTAAGGAAAACCAGCTGATTGCATCGACTCATAGACTCTTCAGCAATCCCTCACACTAAGCATGCTTGTAGCGACAGTGGAGAGGAAAAACTCCCTTTTAACAGGAAGAAACCTCCAGCAGAATCTGCTGAGACCGACGCAGACATCCTGCTATTTGCTATGAAGACAAACTGGGAAACAAATTACTGATACACTGACCTTCCCTTACAGAATAATGTGTTAATAAATCTTCAGCCTAAATCCACATGTTTTTACTAGGGCTGTCGCTTTAACGCGTTAATTAGTTAATTGATTACACTGCAAATTAATGCGATGTAAAAAAAAAAAAACATTCACAATTAATACACCAATTCAATGCACAAGCATTTTAAATTTGGCCTAATGAAGGAACGGCGGTAATAACCGGTGACATAATTTCTCTGCCAAAACACACCTGATTCTGATCAATGGATCCCTGCACAGAGCTTCGTAGGCTGAGTGGGAGAAGGGTTGCATAAAAGAACTGCAGCCTTTGAGGACCATTCCAAAAAATAGAAAGTTAAAATCAATCCACTGGACTTTTTTTTCAAGTTTGAAGACGTTACTCTTCACATTCAGGAAGTTTTTGCAGTTCAAAATGTCAGAAATAGGTTTAAGTTCCAGGTTTTATACAGTAAAGAACGCAAAGCCTTATAGATGGAGGACACATGCATGTGAAAGATGAGAATCACGTTAAGAGACATGAATTTCACATAACAGTGTCACCATTTGCTATAGAAATCATATATATAGACACAGCGCCTTGTTAAAGTATTCACCCCTCCTTGAACTTTTCGACCTTTTGCCACATTTCAGGCTTCAAACATAAATAAAATTGCCATTTTTGTGAACGAATGGGACACAATCATGAAGTGGAGCGAAATTTGTTGTATATTTTAAACTTTTTAAACAAATAATAAACTGATAAATTAATGGGATCCTTTACTTCCCGTGCAGCAAACTGTCTCCAGAAGATTGATCAAATATTGACCTAAATGACTGATGATGATCTATTGATCATCATCAGATACTGAGGAGGAGATACTTATCCTAACATGAAGAGGAGAAGTTTAAAGCCGGATTTGGATCCAAAAAGATTTCCCAGCTTTAAACATCCCAATGAGAACTGAGAAAGAGATGTTATTAAATATAAGGAGAATCAGACCACTGAGAATCTACACAGATCCGCCGACCCTCTGAACCTTCAGACTGATTCATTTGGATGAAATATTTAGCTGCATGACAGCAGACAAGATAGAGGAGAGCAGGAGGCGGGGTTACCAATCTACTCGCTCTGGAGAGCAGAGTTCGCTGCTTTTAGATGTTGTCTCCAAAGTCTCCAGTAGCAGAAAAAAGTCTCTAGATTTGGCGCTAGGAGCTTTTTAGAAATCAAAGTGCTAGAGGGGTCTGAAAAGTGGCTAAATATAGCGACTAAAGCGCTAAGTTGGCAACACTGCTCTTTGCATGGTTTGTTTTCAAATGGTTTGCTGCTGTCTGTTTGGACCTTTCTGAACATGTGCAGCAAATGGACTGATCCAATATGGTGGACACTGAAGGGGGGGCTGAGACACACTTAATATTATCAGCGTTCTGATGGCATTTTAGCCAAAGGATTTTTATCAAAAACATAATTAATGTGCACAAATAAGGAATATTTGTATTAACCATAGAGTTTTATGGGGCCTTCAGGAACTTGGGGCCCTAGGCAACTATTGCCTAATGCCTAATTCATAGAGACACTTGGGGATCAAGTCAGAAAAAAATCAGTAGATATTTACAAAGGGTTAATGTTCTGCTCAGTAAAGAAGTCCAATCTGTTCATGGGTTTGAATATTTCCAATAAAAGGAACCATCATAATAAAAAGTATAGATAACTTATAACTTACATCCTGTTGATGAGGCTGCAATAAACTTCAGCAATATGGTGAAGTTGTAAAATGCATAACAAATGGCAATAAAGCCCCACAGTTCCATACATCGCTCATACCAGCCTTCTGTCACACGTTTCTATGCACTAATAAAGTCCTGTCTCCGTTATTCTGTTCTGTACATTTATTTGACGACATAAATGTTATATTTACAATTGAGCCCTGAAGACAACGCTTAGGAGCTCCACGCCCAAACCCAGAGCCAGACCCAGATCCAGTCCAAGCAGAATGGCACCCAGGCAGGTTGCGACCCACACCACCTGCACACAGACGGCAAAAGTCAGATATGATGTCCAGATAAAATCGATGGAATACAGAGCTGTGAAAAAAGTTTCCCACCCTCACAGATTTTTTAAATTTCCTGTCATAGAGCCCCGTCCTGTAAGAGCTATCCCATAAAACATGATGTTGATCAGCTGACTACTGGGGGCAAATTGTAAAAGAAAAGGAGGCATTTTACATTTTCTTAAAGGAAAAGTACGCTTATATTCAAAATTCAAACTTCTGAAAGTACGTTAAACATTAAATTATTCCATCCTGTTCAATAAATGATCAGTTTTTCTAATTCAGAGTAATTTTCATATGAATGTGCTTTACTGGAGGCATCCATGTTTGTCAAAGAACACTACTGCCACCTACTGGTCCCAGTGCTGTATCTGGTGTTTGTCACAACGCGCTATTATCCAAGTCATCTTGAAAACATTCTTCTTCCAAATGTCGGCTATATATTACGGGTTTTTTCTCTGGCCAGAAGTTCGATGGCAAATCCTCCCTCTTCAAGTTGGCGATCCAACGACCAACCCGTCCGTGGAGGATCAGGAATCAGAAAGGTGGAATAACTATTTTTTTCACTTTTACCCGATGTATTCCAGCATCCAGCTGCTATGCACGTGGGCATTGTCAGTTTCACTATAGCTCTGGTGAATTTCAATGGTGAAGTCCTCTGGAAATCTTCAATAATTGTTGTTGATTGCAGATGTGTCTAGTAGTTCCCATTGATTTAGCTTGTAAAGCGGGGAGAATGGCGCTAGGCTTACCGCACCGTGACGTCACTGCTGGAAGATGGCAGGAGGGAGGGGCTACTATATCTGGGCAAAAATGGCCGCTCCCAGACTCAGTGATCGCAAAGAAAATTATTGTTTTTATTTTTTTACTGATTAACACTAAATTCATTAAATTACTGCAAACGTATTAGTTTTAAGTATAAATAATGATCCATTGATTATTCCTTGCTGACTGAACTTTTCCTATAAAATTTATCTAGAAAATTCGTAAAAACGTGCCTCTTACCAGGAGTTAAACACGGAGGTGGTACAGTGGGTCCTGGTTGGAAATGGACACTTCACTCACGCTCTCCGTGTTTCACGAAATGCATGAAAAATGATCCAGTTTACGTCCATGAGCATGCGACCGATCGAGTGGACGGATGATCTAAGGACCTTTGTTGATTAAGTTAGTTGTTTTGCCAAAAAGATTAATTATAATAATTTTTCATTAAATAATAGAGATGCAGATAAATAGAAATAAACAGTTCGGAGGTGTATCTATAACTGCGCCCATACGCAAAAATTTTCATGAAATAAGATAATGCAGTCACTATGTTAAATTAATTCATTAACTTTATTTTAATCAAAAACATCATATCATAAGGTTTTGTTTGTTTATGGAAATGGTCTCAATAAACTTTTCAGTTGACTGCAGGCCCACAAACGTCACCTTTAGCACGGCAGAGCTCCCAAGTGCCACCTGGGGGTTGTCCGGGTACATTGCAGTTCTTTTTGAAATAAAAAAAAAACTGGCCTCAGGAAATACATCGTGATTCACGCAGGAAACCATCCATTTCCAACCAGTACCCACTGTAGTGTGATCCTTTGCTGCCTTCTATTAGTCAGAGCAGGAAACTTTCAACGAAATTAATATTTTTTTCAAAGATTTTCCATCCCTGGAACATCTGGAATTTTAATTTTACTCAAAATAACATGAAGAAATAATTGTTTTATAAAGTTTGGCGGATCCAAAGTATTAAATTATTTCCTTCTGGTTACGATGCCACTGTGGACTCTAGTTCTGCTTCATAATAAAGAAATAGCTTCTAGATGTTAAGTGTCTAAGATTCAAACAGAGCAAAGGATGAGAAATGAGGGTAAACATTCATCAAAGTTTTAGGTGTTAGTGTCATTTTCCCTCCGACAAGTAAGTTATATAGAGAGTAGATTTATGGCAAAACATAGAAGTTGAAGGATGGCATGAGAGCAGGGGAGTGCTCTGCACCATCTACTGGCTGGAATTAATTAATTAATAACTTTGGTCTGTTTTAAGTTACAGGAGAGAAATCTTTGATGAGCCAAATACTTTTTTTAAGAAAAGCAAAACTGCGATTTTAGCTTCTTTTCACATCTGAGCACCTACACACTCCGGCTTGTCTCTCCTCCAAAGGTACGGGATTTCTCTGAGCTGCATCAGCATCCCCTTAAGGTTGACGATTACCAGGGCACCCAGAACAGACTGCAGTCAAGAAAAATATTAACATCAATTCATATATTAGGGACTGAAAGATTATTCAAAAATGAAAAACAATTGTAAGCTCACCTTTGGAAGAGGAGCCAGGAGGAAGCCCAGGGCCAGCGTTACAATCATCACGATTATGGCTGAGATCAGCCCTGCGGTCTGATTTTTTAAGTCAAGTAAACCATGAGGAAAAATGGAAGAGGGCGTAATGTGCACAACTCATGAGGTTGGGTTTGATTCCTGACCTGCGTTTTGCCTCCAGAACTTTCCTGCACTGCAGTTCTGGAGAGGGAAGTGCTGGCTGCAAAGGAACTGAACGCTGCTCCAAATATGTTGCTAACCCCAAACGCAATAAGCTCCTGAGGTAACAAGGAATTAGGCCAATGTTATGGTCAGAAAATACAAAAACTGGTAAACTGAACACCCGAAAGTTTCGTACTCTCACTTCTAAGCATCAGTAGCCAATTAACCCAATAGCTCAGCCAAGAGCAAGTTAGGATAGACATAGAGCGCACCTGGTTGCCATCGATGGGGTAGTCATGTTTAATAGAGTACACTTTGGCGACTGAAAAAGGCCACAGCGAATCCTACGATGGCTACAGGGAAGGCCTCCACGGCACTCTCCTGGAAGACCTCCACGCTTGGTGCAATAGGAGACTCATACCTGACATGTGACAAAAGACTCATTTAAAATCTGAATTATGAAACAACAAGAGAGAAATATGCAGAACTGCAAACTTACCCGCTAACCATTTTGCCAACAACGTCAACCTTATACCTATCTTCAAAGTTGAGTTTGTAGGAAATTCCACAAGCTATAACAGTCTGCATGAATGAAACAGATATTCTTAATGCTGCTGTGAAATCTAATAGGTTGGTAGAGGGTACCTCATAATATAGAGACAGGTGAGGGTAAAAAAAGGTCAGCGACCAAAGGAACTCACCATTATAACCTCTATGGGAATAGGAAAAGGCAGCTTGGCTTTGTATCTGTCATTAAGCTCCTTTACAATGAACACTACCACCATGATCACTATGGACATAACCAGGTCGCAGATGTTGGTGGAGGTGATCTGGACAAAGATCTTTTCCAAGGTCTGTCAGGCAGGAAAACATCCACATGTCAGCATCTCTAAAAGTTTGCTTTTGCCTCACTAAAGTGTTTACTTAAGAAAATACAGCATGCGGATTTTATTTTTTAAATTGTTAACATTAAATTTAGCCCTTGAATGATATATTACCTACTGTAAATTAAGTTGAAAAGAAAAGGTGGTAAAAAGCTAACTGAAAAGTTAAAAGGTAAAGTTAAAAGTTAATAAGCCTAGTTAACAATTATATTTAGGTTTATAAACTAAAAAATGTAAGTGCCAGTATCTGCATTAATGCCTCTAAGGTTATGTTGGACCAAAAAAACTGTTTCTTTCTCTCTGAGAGTTTTTCATGAATCTCTTATAGAGTAGCAGCCATTAAAATGGCCCTTCCCAGCCGAATGGCAGCCAAATGGCAGCCCACTTCCATCCAACTCCCAGCGAAATCCCCTCAAACTTCCAGCCACTGGAGAGACCCCCTCTTGCATATTTCTTTACTCTGACTCCAACCTTTCACTGAATTATCTTCCACAAATCATGACAGAAAAATCTTTAAGAACAAAGATTGATGTTTATAAAGGAATTGTAGGGGACCAGTCAAGAACCAGCCAAGGACCAGCCTAGGACCAGTCAAGGGCAAGCCAAAAACCAGCCAAGGGCCAGCCAAGGACCAGACAAAGGCCAGCCAAGAACCAGTCCAGGACCAGCCAAGGACCAGTCCAGGGCCAGCCAAGTACCAGTCAAGGGCAAGCCAAAAACCAGCCAAGGGCCAGTCCAGGACTAGCCAAGGACCAGTCAAGGGCCAGTCAAGGACCAGCCAAGGACCAGCCAAGGGCCAGCCAAGGACCAGTCAAGGACCAGGCAAGGGCCAGCCAAGGGCAAGCCAAAAACCAGCCAAGGGCCAGTCCAGGACTAGCCAAGGACCAGTCAAAGGCCAGTCAAGGGCCAGTCAAGGACCAGCCAAAAACCAGCCAAGGGCCAGCCAAGGACCAGGCAAGGACAAGCCAAAAACCTGCCAAGGGCCAGCCAAGGACCAGTCAAGGGCCAGCGAAGGACCAGCCAAGGACCAGGCAAGGGCCAGCCAAGGACCAGCCAAGGGCCAGTCAAGGACCAGCCAAAAACCAGCCAAGGGCCAGCCAAGGACCAGGCAAGGACAAGCCAAAAACCTGCCAAGGGCCAGCCAAGGACCAGTCAAGGGCCAGCGAAGGACCAGTCCAGGACCAGCCAAGGACCAGTCCAGGGCCAGCCAAGGACCAGCCAAGGACCAGGCAAGGGCCAGTCAAGGGCAAGCCAAAAACCAGCCAAGGGCCAGTCCAGGACTAGCCAAGGACCAGTCAAGAACCAGTCAAGGGCCAGTCCAGGACCAACCATGGACCAGTCAAGGGCCAGTCAAGGACCAGTCAAGGGCAAGCCAAAAAACAGCCAAGGGCCAGTCCAGGACCAGCCAAGGACTAGCCAAGGACCAGTCAAGGGCCAGTCAAGGACCAGTCAAGGGCCAGCCAAGGAAAGTGGGGTAATTTTTAATGGCTAATACTGTAGAAGCACTTTGGTTATTTTTCTTAATATATTCTGGCAAGTTGGCGTTTCTTGTTATTATATTGACATTCATTTTTGCCGGGCTTAAAGTCTTTGAGTCTAAGATGGATGACCTAGGTTTGACTCTTGTTTTGTTTTTTTCAGAAAAGGCATGTGGTTTAAAAACTGCCAAGACTGTAAGGAAGTAGGAGTGACTTGTTATGACCTAGATGATCAGCTGAAAGGAAACAAACAATGGAAATGTGGAAATTTTAAAACATCTGAACAACAACACCTGACAGGCATAAAAAACACCTGACTGTGCTTATCTGAGATCAGGTCATGAGGGTAGCAGGTCCATCAGGGAAGCCTTGTTTAACAATGAAAAGCTTACTAGGGGTGAGGGAGATAATAGTCCCATCACTGAGGTCTAGTTCTGACCTGTGGTTCCCTGATTTCCCTTTTTATCCTCATAAAACACTGGAAAGATTGATCAATGATGAAGTATACATCATGGCCTTGTGGTGGGGAGTAGCAGGTTTGTGGGCAACAGGGACAAGTTGCTCTTTGTCATCAATTTATGCAGTTTAGTGTGCGCCTCCAGGTGTCAAATGGAGCCACTTCCATCAACCACAATCCTCAACTTTCAGCACTGGAGATACCCCCTCTTGCAGATTTCTTTACTTGACTCAACCTTTCAATGAATTATGTTCAAAACATGACGAAATCTTATAGAACTACAGATTATGTTTATAAAGGATTGTAGGGACAGGTCAGAACCAGCCAAGGACAGCTAGGACCATTCAAGGCAACCAAAAACCACCAAGGGCAGTCCAAGGATCCAGACAAAGGCCACCAAGAACCATCCAGGACCACCAAGGACCATCAGGCAGTCCAAGTACCAGGTCAAGGTGCAAGCCAAATAACCAGCCTAGGCCATGTCCAGACTACCAAACATTCAAGGGCCAGCAAGGCCGCCAAGGACCAGCCAAGGCCAGCAGGACCATCAAGGAACTAGTGCAAGGGCCACCAAGGGCAACCAAAAACCAGCCAAGGTGCATTTCCCAGACTACCAATGACACAGTCAAAGGCACGTCAAGGCTGTCAATGGTACCACCAAAAACCAGGCAAGTGCATGCAAGGACCAGCGAAGCAAGCCAAAAACCAGCCAAGCCAGCAAGGACCAGTCAGGCCAGCGAAGGACCAGCCAAGGACGCAGGGGGGCCAAGGACCATCCAAGGGCCAGTCAAGGACCATGCCTAAAACAGCCATAGTGCGCCAAGGACAGGCTAGACAGCCAAACATCTGCCAAGGGCCAGCCAAGGACCATCCAAGGCCATCGAATGGACCATCCAGGACCAGCCAAGGACCAGTGCGCAGGGCCAGCCAGGACCAGCAGGTTTCCAGGTCAAGGCCATCCAAGGGCAAGCCAAAAACCAGCCAAGGGCCAGTCCGGACTAGCCAAGGACCAGTCAAGAACATCAAGGCACAGTCCAGACCAACCATGGACTCAGTCAAGGCAGTCAAGACCGTCAAGGGCAAGCCAAAAATAGCGCCATAGGGCCAGTCCAGGCCAGCAAGGACTAGCCAAGGACCAGTCAGGGCAGTTCTAGGACCAGTTCAAGGGCCAGCCAAGGAATGGGTAATTTTCTATATTGTGCAAGACTGTAAAGCACTTTGGTTATTGTTCGTAATAATTCTGGCAAGTTGGGTTTTGTTATTATCATGACATTCTTTTTGGCCCGCTTAAGTTTTGAGTCTAAATGGATGACCTCGTTGACTCTTTTTTAGTTTTTTTCAGAAAAGGCATTTTGGTTAAAAATGCTCCAAACTTGTAAGGAAGTTTGGAGTGGCCTTTTATGACCTAGATGATCATGCTGAAGGAAACAAACAATGGAATTGAATTAAAACATCTGAAGAACACAGTCCTGATCGGCATAAAACACTGACTGGCTTTCTGAATCAGGTCTGAGGGTACGTCCATCAGGGAACCTTTGTTTAACAATGAAAGTTACTAGGTGAGGGAGATATAGTCCCATCTCTAGGTCTAAGTATCTGACCTGTGTTCGATTTCCCTTTTTAATCGCTCATAAACACTGGAAAGATTGATCAATATAAGTTATAACATCATGGCCTCTGTGTGGGAGTAGCAGGTTTGGGGCACAGGACAAGTTAGCTCTTTGCTCAATTTAGCAGTTTAGTGCGCTCATTTGGAGTGCCACTTATGTTATTAGCTGATCTTGACAGGGATTTTTGGAAGACTTAAGATCAATATTAAGGGGTAAACTGGTAGTATGAGTACTACCAGTTTTCACTTTTTAATTGAAATGGTAGGAGGCAAGTATATGCGACGGAAGATGTATCGGATTAAGACTCCTTTTCACATTGGGATTGATTCATTTTCCGTTAAGATGGCGTAGTATTAGCCTTGTGAGACCATCCTGATCTCGCGAGCTTTCAAGGTTCCACTCGCAGATCAGTCTGGAGACTCTCCGTTGAAGAAAATTTGGAGCCGTTCACCAAACAAACGTTCAATCAGCGTTGGCTTTGAAGCGGGTTGAGGTGTGACGCAACGACAAGCGCGACAGTTCAGTCTAAAGAACATGGCGGCTTCAGCCGATGAAACTAGCTTTAGCGTGGCTATCGAGCAAGTTTTATCGGAATTACAGAGTATTTCTTCAGTGAAAGAAGAGCAAAACACTGCTCTGGAGGCTTTTCTCAGAGGAAAAGATGTTTTTGCTCTTCTCCCGACTGGTTTCGGCAATAGTAGCCTGGCTTCAGGTTGTGTTTTCGTCGTCGCTCTGTTAGTACGTCATATGCTTCGTTGATCTGATTGGTTTATTTGGCCCGTCTATCACCAACATAGGCCAATCAGCTAACCAGTATTTTCACCTCTTCCCAAAATTACTTCAACAGAAGGTTTCCAGATGGATATGCGGAGCAAATCCATCTGGCGGAGTCAGGTTAGCGTAGTATCTCCGTGGGGCAAGATATTTAACAACAAGGCGGCTCTACAGTCGGATGTGATGCTCCTATTATGGCTTTGCAAGTCTGAGTAAAAGAGGAGAGACATGACAAGTTGCGAACAGGTACAGTAGCAGCCATTCAAAATGACTCTTCCCAGCCGAATGGCAGCAGCCTGACAATGAAAATGAACATTTACATTTATAAAGAGCAGCAGTGATCAAAATGTGAACAGCATATATGGTTCAAAAAGCAGTAGAACGATGTTACCCTGGATGCAGTTGGGATTTCTTCTATAGGACTCACCTGTGCAACTGAGCCCAGGAGTAGAGGATATGGTGTCTGGGAGTCATTGATTGTGGCTGTTCTGCCTATTTCTCTGGCACTTGTGCAAAAGGGGTGATAGACAGTTTTATATTCCATTAACCTTTCTGCTGACCTATACTTTTTTTTTTTACTGATAGACACAAACTTGTATACTTAAAAGAAGTAATTTCTCTAAGGATCACCAGCTTTCAATAAGTGGTAATCTCCAGGATATGTAGGACGCTTCAATGTCTATAAAGGCACAGAACTGTGTTGCTTTCCTCAACCAGATCCCATTGCACTCAACTTTGTCAGGTACCAACAGAGATGGAAAAAGTACTCACTTTCCGTACTTGAGTAAAAGTACAGATACTTGTGTTAAAAAATACTCTGGTAAAAGTGGAAGTACTGATTAAACTTCTTTACTCAAGTAAAAGTAACAAAGTACAGGCTTGTAAATTTACTTAAAGTATAAAAGTAAAAGTAGAAACCACTTTTTTCATGCCGTTGCCTACATTTTAAATGGATGTCTGCCAATAGGACTAGATCTCCGTTGTGTTCATTTTCAATCATCTCGTCGTCCATGCTACTATGCTAACGCCACCGCCACCAAGCTGCAATGATTTGCCGCCAATGAATACCGCCGAATCTGTCGATTCATCTTGTAGTGGTGTGTCAAATGCAACGTAGATTCCCATCCAATTAGATTGAATTTGGTATTGATGACGTGAAAAATAATAACGGTAACTCCATTGAGTTACCGTTATTATTTTTTATTTTTATTTTTTTTATTTTTATTTATGTATTTTTTTTTTTTAAGTAACGAGCCAATTTTCTAAAATGTAAGGAGTAGAAAGTACAGATACTTGTGTAAAAATGTAAGAAGTAGAAGTAAAAAGCCACCATAAAAATGAGTAGTAAAGTAAAGTAAAAATATCAGAAAAATCTACTTGAGTACAGTAAGAAAGTATTTTTTACTTCATTATTTCCCATCTCTGGGTACCAATAATGACATTTGTTTCTTGTAACATTATACTGCACCTAAATTAAACTTACATATATTATAGAAAGTGGGCCGCTGATTCCCGGAACAGTCAAACCGAAAACGAATTTGAGTTGAGAAACCAAGATGTGAACAGCGGCTGCTGTGGTAAAGCCGGAGACCAGAGTTTCTGAAAGGTAGACGACAATGAAGCCCACCTGCAGGACACCCATGGCCAGCTGCATTCAGGCAGAATATGCAGAGAGGGGAAGGTTAGAGAATAGATGCATTTATTTGCTTAAAACGATGGAGGGAGGATCCAACTGACCTGGAAAATACCCATGAGGAAAGTCATAGAAGAGGCAACCAGGACTCTCCTCTGATCCTGGGTCAGACCTTCAAAGTCGGTAATATTTGCATGTGCTCCTTCATCAGGGACTAGGCGGGTCACCACCGCTCCCACCATGAGGCTCAGGACAGGAAAGGGGCCTTCAGAGAGAGTGGAGATGGGAGTGTAAAAAGATAGTTAACTTAGATCTAATCTGGTTAACTTGATAAGGTCTACATAGTTCCAGGAATTGGACCTTCAAGTTAAATGACCTTCAAGTCTTTTTTATCTCTGGTAGAATACTTCTTAATCAGAAAGGATGACCGTGGTAATAAAACATCTTTTTGTTTTGCACAACATACCTACTGATATATGCCTCGAGGTGCCAAGAAAAAAGTATGTTAGCACAGGAAAGAAAGCCGTGTAGAGGCCGTAGCTGGGAGGCAACGAGGCCAGCAGGGAGAAGGCCAGGCCTAAACAAAACCAGAAAAAAACATTTAAACCAGTTTGGGACAAAGCTGGGAAGGTTTTTGATCTTTTTTTTCTTTTTAATTTAAATCCTTTCAACCTTTTCCTTTACATTCGGTCTCATGTAGCCAAACTTAAACATTTTCTTCCTCAAATATCTAATGTGCAATATGTTTATATTTGATAGATAATCCTGGCATTGCCTAAAAATCTGGAATAATGATTCTAAATATCCGGTCTGAGTGAACCAACAAGAAAATATTTGAGATTCTGAAGCCTGATAAAAAAAAAAACAATGAGAATATTATCTAGATATTTACACCATTTTTTAAAAATCATATCAAAATCTTACATAATCTAATCTAGTTCTGATTCTTAGAATTTGGCGGCATTTATGACACACAGAGCCCTTCACATTTATTGGTGCTGCTTGTAAAGCTGAGTATAGAGCCTCAAATCAATTCAGCGCTTTATTGCCTCAGTATAATCTCATATAAACATAAATTGATCTGAACTTTAGGTGCTTTTGTCAGATGGGAATAAATCCAGGATGAATTTATCTTTACCCCCAAATTCTTAAAGCACTATGTTGTTGTTGTTTTTATCTAAGTGAGTTTGAACTTTTAATTAGCAACCAATGACTTAATAGTTCTGGGGATGAAATATGCCAAACATTTAATCTCTAAAAAATAAGATTTCACTGAAGATAGTGAAATGGTCGTCTTCAAATAATGGCCAAATGGGTGTTTTATTTGTTTGTTTTTTTGGCTTTTATGGGAACTATGACCAAAAAAAGCAGTTAAGATTTTATGTAACAATCTGTACATCTGTTAAATCATTCAATAGGTGTAATAATTCTTTATAACCTTCCTCCATAGGAAAATGGAAATCTAAATAAGTATTTTTTGCTCAAATTAAGAGCATTTTTTCTTGAATTGATGAGGTATATGAGACACTTTGCCACACTGGAAAAACGATCTAGAAATAAGTAAAAATTTCTTAAATTAAGTGTATTTACCCTTGATTTGAGTAGGTAAATGAGATAGTTTGCCAATGGAATCAGTATTTTTACTCTTAAAATAAGATAATTAGATAGTATTCACTTGAAATAAGAGAATGCAATTGTGTTTTCTTATTTTAAATCTAAATTGTCTTGTTCCATTGGCAAAATGTTTCTTTTATCTCCTCAATTCAAGAACAAATGCACTTATTTTAAGAAAAAATGACTTATCAAGATTTAGATTTTTTGCAGTGCAATGCAACAAGACAATTTAGATTTAAAATAAGAAAAAAACAAATGCATTGTCTTATTTCAAGTGTATATTATCTAATTATCTTATTTCAGGAGTAAAAATACTAATTTCATTGGCAGATCATCTTATTTACCTGCTCAAATTAGGCGTAAATACACTTAATTTAAGTAATTTTTTACTTATTTCTAGATGTTTTTTTGCAGTGAGCTGATTCCAGAGGTTTTGTTTGAAAAGGACCAACAACACTGCAAAAACGATCTAGAAATAAGTAAAAATGCCTTAAATTAAGTTTATTCAAACTTAATTTGAGTAGGTAAATGAGATAGTTTGCCAATGGAATGAGTAATTTCACTCTTAAAATAAGACACTTGAAATAAGACAATGCAATTGTGTTTTCTTATTTTAAGTGTAAATTGTCTTGTTCCATTGGCAAAATGTCTCTTTTTCCTCCTCAATTCAAGAACAAATGCACTTATTTTAAGAAAAAATGACTTATCTAGATTTAGATTTTTTGCAGCGAATGCAATTGATCTCCTCACCCTGCATGATGGCCACCAGTCCAGTGCTGACCCCAGACACCACATCCCCCAGCAGCCACTCTCTGACTCTGTAGCTCCTCATCCAGCCAATGACAGGCAGGGCAGAGAGAACCGCTGCTTTGGCCCGCTTTGCATCACAGCTGTTTCAATCAAACCAAAAACACAAGTTTATGTGAGGTGAGAGCAGGAACCCTGCAGCAGAAGATCAATATGGAGATCTCCGATGAGTCTGTGGGAACACTTACGTTAAATATTCCTTAACATGGGCAGTGAGAGCTTTGTGTTTCCTCTGAATCTTTTCATGATCTTCAGCGAGGCTGTCCTCAGAGTACACCGGCCTGGAAACCACATATTGTTTTCTGGAAGTCACCATTGTTCCAGTGGAGGATGTTGAAGAGTCACAGTGAGTCATAAAGCATAGAGATCCTTTGAAGAACCTTTGGTCGAGGCATCAAAGCTGAAATCTGACATGAGTCTCATCGCTGTGCCGTCTTTGTCTTCTCTCCGTTCAATGATTAACACGCGTAAATTTACAGTTTACTGAGTTGTTGTCTGTCATTGTTTCTTTGAATTTATTGGTCAGTAACTTTCCTTTGAGATGTGAGGAATGTGTGGAAAAAACAGTAAAGACTGAACAGCAGTGAATGCTATTAGTAATGTCTCTCCACTGTTGCCACAAGCACTCTCAGTGTGAGGGATTGCTGAATAGTCAATCAGTGGATGCAATCAACTGGTTTTCCTCAGATAGAAAATTTTGGATCAATTTGACTGGATGATCTTGTCTTGATTGTTCATTTCACTCATCTTCCTGCTCTCGCTACTTAATAAACTACATGTGGCTGATCATCCTCTTCCAAGCGTAAAATATCCTTTAGTCTATTAATGCTTTATTTCTTCCAGCTCACAAGAGGTGATGCTAAATATTCGTTAATTTCTACCAAAATTAATCCCTAAATTATGTCCAAAGCAAATATTTCATTGCATTCTGTTTATTTTTGGATAAAGATCCAGATGAAAAGGTACATAGATCTTTGAATATTTCTCTCTCATCTCTCTCATCCCAGTCCGGTTTCTTTCTGCATGGAGTTAGCATGTTCTCCCTGAGCATGCGTGGGTTCTCTCCGGGTACTCCGGCTTCCTCCCACTGTCCAAAAAAAAACATGACTGTTAGGTTAATTGGCTTCTCTAGATTCTCCTTAGGTGGGATTGTGTGTGAATGATTGTTTGTTCTGTTTGTCTCTGTGTTGCCCTGCAATGGACTGGCGACCTGTCCAGGGTGGACCCCGCCTCTCGCCTACTGACAGCTGGAGATAGGTAACCTGACTCCGCCAGATGGATTTGCTCCGCATATCCATCTGGAAACCTTCCGTAGAAGTAATTTTGGGAAGGGGCGAAAATACTGGTTAGCTGATTGGCCTATGTTGGTGATAGATGGGCCAAATAAACCAATCAGATCAACGGAGCATATGACGTACTAACAGAGCGACGACGAAGAGGAGCCAATTGATAGATCAAACTCTTGCCGAAACCAGTCGGGAGAAGAGCAAAAACATCTTTTCCTCTGAGAAAAGCCTCCAGAGCAGTGTTTTGCTCTTCTTTTAGTGAAGAAATACTCTGTAATTCCCATAAAACTTGCTCGATAGTCACGCTAACGCTAGTTTCATCGGCTGAAGCCGCCATGTTCTTTAGACTGAACTGTCGCGCTTCTCGTTGCGTCACACCTCAACCCGCCTCAAAGCCAACGCTGATTGGACGTTCGTTTGGTGAACGGCTCCAAATTTTCTTCAACGGAGAGTCTCCAGACTGATCTGCGAGTGGAACCTTGAAAGCTCGCGAGATCAGGATGTTCTCACGAGGCTAGGAGATAGGCACCAGCACACATTGTGAGCCCACTTGGGATTAGCCTGTTAGAAAATGGATGGACGGGTAAATGTTTCCTTGTATTGTCATTAAAACATTTTCTCTGTTTCCTTTAAATATTTCAACATTTTATTTTGCATATTCATTCAATGTAGGTGTTGGGATCCAGAGGTTTGCCCACCAGAGGGTGCCGTGGATCCCTTTCTGAGAGCTTGTGCTCACCTGCAACAGCTGTTCCCCATTTGCTCATCAAGAGGAACTACTTAAGCTGGAGGAGAACTTCACTCCTTGCCAGATTGTTTGCCAGTTATGGTTAGCAAGCCTGAGCCAACCTGCCTGCCTGAATCTTGACTCCCTGTTAACCTGAACCTGAACCTAACCTGTTTTGTCCTCTATGCCCTCCAGGAAGAACCCAGTCTGTGTTCAATAAACCTTTGGACTTTTCCTCTGCCTCTGTGTGTGTTCTGCATTTGGGCTAGTAACACAACCCATCATGACAGAAGGTCTGGGTTGCCATGGCATTATAAGACAATTATGTAGTTTCTCGCTGTATCTTTTTATTTCAAAGCCTTTGAATTTAACTCTACTTTGACCCCTGAGAAGCAGTAACCGAGGGGGAAATTCTCAGAAATTCAATTCAATTCAATTCAGTTTATTTATATAGCGCCAAATTCACAACACATGTCATCTCAAGGCACTTTACAGTTCAACCAGATCATACAGTCAAATTGATACAAAGTTTTCTATCTAAGGAAAACCAGTTGATTGCATTGACTCATTGACTCAAATACAATCCCCCACACTAAGCATGCTTGTAGCGACAGTGGAGAGGAAAAACTCCCTTTTAACAGGAAGAAACCTCCAGCAGAACCAGGCTCAGTGTGAGCGGCCATCTGCCGAGGCCGACTGGGGTTCAAGGAGACAGAAGCAGAGATACAAGCAGCTGTAAAAGGCGGCCCCGTCCAGGAAACACACAGCCAGGCAGACGAGCTCCAAGGCAGCTCCCATGCCAGAGGACGAAGAGAGCACATCCACTCAGTCACGGTCAGAGAAACAGGACCACACTGGAAATCAGGCCGATCTCCAACATCTATTAACAAGGGTGTTGATAGAAGCAGCACAGCTGATGTTTTTTTCCAGGATGACGTCACAGCCAAACAGGAACAGACGAGGCAAAGCTACTCTGAGGAAAAGCAGAGAGAGCAGAAGGTTAGAGATTGAACTAACAGATTCTGCAGAATAGGAGAACAGAGAGAGAATGAAGCAGAATGATGAAATGGGGGTCCCTATGTCCTCCAAAAGTCTAAGCCTATAGCAGCATAACTATAGAGATAGCTCAGGATAACCTGAGCCACTCTAACTAGAAGCTTTATCAAAAATGAAAGTTTTAAGCCTAGCCTTAAAAGTAGACAGGGTGTCTGCCTCACGGACTAAAACTGGTAGTTGGTTCCACAGGAGAGGAGCCTGATAACTAAAAGATCTGCCTCCCATTCTACTTTTAGAAATTCTAGGAACCACTAGTAAACCTGCAGACTGAGAGCGAAGTGCTCTGTTAGGAACATAAGGAACAATCAGATCTCTGATATAAGATGGAGCTTGGCCATTTAAGGCTTTATATGTGAGAAGGAGGATTTTAAATTCTATTCTTGATTTAACAGGAAGCCAATGAAGAGAAGCCAGGATAGGAGAGATATGATCTCTCTTTTTCATTTTAATCAGAACTCTGGCTGCAGCATTTTGGATCAGCTGAAGGCTTTTACAGCTGAAGGCTTTTAAATAGAAATAAAGCAAAATCTACCAAAGTAGAAAGAAGAATTTTTTGTTCTTTGCTTTTTTGGATTTTTTAGATTTATTTATTTGACAGGAAAGTGTACATTAGTAAGCATTCCTGCAGATGCACCAGAATTAGCCAAAATGCTATTTTTCATCTGTTGACCCTGGGGCATTTTGGAGCAATGAAGATGTTTATTGATCTGTCTTTATGCATAATTCATAGTAGATCAGGAAGTATTTGCTTTGGGATGGAAACCGTATATTTCTAAAATCATTCTTTTACTGTATATTTTGTTAGCTTGTCTGTCTGCTATATTAACCAATATGATGTGTTGAACAAGATCTGCTATTTTCACAGCTTTTGTGAGACACTTTTTTTTATAAAGTAGGGCATTAATTCATAAAAAAGTTATTTGAATTCATTAAATCAAAGTTTTTTTGCCCAACAGCAATGATGATCTGCACGGCAGCATTCTATACCCAGCTATTGTAGCATCTAGGATAGAGCTGCCAGTCTGGGGAAGAATCTGGTTTTTATTACAAATGGTAAAGTTTCACTTTTTTTCCGACATAAAACTGACTAAAACCTTTTTAAATTTTAGTCGACTAAAACCAACTAAAACTCCCACAAAAGACTAAATTTAAGATGGCTGTCAAAAACAACACTGCCGTTTGTGATTTTATCATATGTTCATAAAATTTTAATTACCTAAATATGACTGAAGAATCCTTTAAGATGAGTCCCCTCATGTATCCTAGCTGCAAATTCAATAAGACTATAGGAATCAATTAACTAAAGGTTTTTGGTTTCTGACGAAGCAAAAAATTTCATGAAACATTTTTTTTAACCAAATATTTTATTCACCTCTTAATTATTATTCGTATTTTAAATTGGTTTGAACCCATTGCAATTTTATTTGATTGATTGTGCTTCTAATCTATTTTTTGCTTCCTTTTTGTGTAGCTTAGCTGATCTGAGTTTGATTACAATAGTAAAGAGTTTTTAACTGAAATGTGTTTTGACTTCTTTTGCATTCCATATTTGGAAGAGTTTTCGGTTTGATTAATTCACTGTTTGTTCACAGATCATAATTGCACAATATACGTTGAAATAATCATGACCACAATAAAGACAAATGAAAATTCTTTAAATAAAGTTGGTTTTTAATTCTAAAAACAGAAATGTGCTGTAACAAAACATCTAGACTGATTATTTGCAACAATAATTGTCTACATATTAAATGTTTGTGGTATAAAAACAACAGCATACAGGTTTTCTAATAAAACATTCATTCTGATTGAAACATATAGCAACGTTTTGCTTCGTACAGATATACATACATATATATAAAAGTAAAAACAAGCTCTTAAATTCAAGGGAATTAATATATTTACATTTGCAAATTCTAAAGCTCATCTTGGTTTATGACACACATAAAACATATTTTTCTCTATAAAAAAAATAAAATTTCAAAATGTAAATATAAGCTTATTTAGCAACTTAGCGCTTTAGTCGCTATATTTAGCCACTTTTCAGACCCCTCTAGCACTTTGATTTCTAAAAAGCTCCTAGTGCCAAATCTTCTAAAATCATCTAAAATCAGCGAACTCTGCTCTCCAGAGCGAGTAGAGTGGTAACCCCGCCTCCTGCGTAATCAGGGGGACTCAGTCTTTCCTCATTTGGACTTTGTTCTCAGTGAATATATATCATATACCATTAATTTGGAAAAAAATGTGTCTTTATTTCCTAAAATGTATTTAACTCTTTGCAATAATTTTATAATCTATAAAATCGTATCTCTAAAATATCCAAATAACACAACTTCTAAAATACATTTATTA